TCAAGGCTTGGTGGGCCAGGATGTGCTCCACTCTCTCTTTCTCCCCCCTTCATTTACTCCCGTGTGCTCTGATCAGACGAGCCCCTCTCCCTGAGCTGCAGCCTCAGTTGTCCTCTGAAATAAATTCTTCTGTGGGGAGGGGCAGCTGTCCACGTAGTTGGGATTTGGGCTGGCCCTTCAGACCACCCCACTGGTTCCCTACTCCATGCTGCCATGTTGCATTCACATCTTGGAGCTCCAGGTTGAAGTATGGTCCCGCTTTCCCTGTGGAGATATAAACAATACTCTCCCCTTGGGAGGGTTAGTGCCCTGTTCCCCCACTACCCATTTCTTTTGTTTTGCTTTGTTTTCCTTTACCCCCCTCCTTTTTAGTTGGCTACTCCAGTTTTGTTTCTAACAGGGAGGTCATATTTTCCAACTACTGTTCCTTCTTCAGGAGCACTGGTGATGTAGGGGGTTATGTGTTGCCTACTAATCACAAGGTCGGCAGATTGAATCCACCAGCTGCTCCTTGGGAGAAAGATGAGACTTTCTACTCTGTAAAGATTTATATTCTCAGAAACCAACAGGGATAGTTCTACCCTGTTCTATAGGGTTGCTATGAGTCAGAATTGACTTGATGGCAGTGAATGTTGGGTTGATTCCCTTCTTTTTGTTTCTGACTTTTGTATTCCAATTATAATAATTATCAATGTATTTTTATTGCATGCTTGATCAATTTTAGAATGAAGAAGTGGTAGAATTCTTCAATGTCTTCATCACTGGCTTTTGTGGTTGGTGTGCAAATTTGAATAATAGTTATATTAACTGGACTTCCTCTTATGTATATAGGTATTATTCTATCACAGACAGTGTTGTGCTTAAAGATAGAATTTGAAATGTCCCTTTCGCTTAAGAATGCAACGGCATTACGCTTGAATTTGCCATCACCTAGTAAACTGTATTATCTGATTTAAAGTGGCAAACGCCAATCCCTTTTAGCTCACTGACACCTTTTATGTGTTATAGTTGAGTTGTGCCCCATCAGCAAATGAAGGTCCTAAAAGTTTACTTCATCCATATCATTAAGGTCAACTCTACTTTGTGGAGGTAGCACTTCCCTAGTTATGTATTTTGAGTGTCTTTTAGCCTGTCATGAAAGCTGAGCAGTATAAGGCACTGCATTAAGGTAGCAGCATAGTTTCCAATACCACTTCTGGCAAGACAACCGTTAAGAGTCCTCATGGTGTAGGGATTCTGCATTGGGCTGCTAACTGCAAGGGCTTTCTACTCTAATGAAGAGTCGCCGTCTGTCAACTCACAGAGGCAGTTCTTCCCTGTCCTATAGGGTCATTATGAGTCATCATCGACTCAGTGCAGTGAGTTTGTTGTTCTAACCTGTGGGGCTCATCTTCCAAACAGTGTTCTGCTGCTGTTCCATGAGGTGGTCAGTGGCTAAGCTCAAAGTGGGCAGCCTATTCCTTCTTTGTAATCAGTTCTTAGTCTGGAAGCTCAGCTGATATCTGTTCACCATGGGTGACCTTGTTAATAGTTGAAATACCAGTGGCATAGCTTCCAGCATCAAGGCAGCATCAAAGCAACACAACAAACTGATGAGTGGTGGGAGGAGGCTTAGAGAGATGGAAACACCACATCCAGAAGGATCCAGCCTCAGTGGAGGACATGCCCCCCAAACAACAGCTTCATATATATTGATATTTTTGTTTGATAAAGGGTTCTGTGGTTTTGTAGCAACACTTTTTGACTTACCTACATATATAATTTGGGAAAATCAATAGGCAGGAACTTTGCATTTAGTTCACTTAATTATACCTAATGCTCTAAAATTACTGTTAACTATTATTTGCTTTGTATAACCATAGCAAGACAGGGGAATGGAATTTTGGCTTCAAAGACATATTTCCTGACTTTAAGTGGTACATAGGATTTGGAATCATATAGACTTAAATTCCAAACTTAACTATAGTCTAGCTTTTAAAGTGTATATATTTGTTGTACTAGGCTCGGTTATTTCAGCTTGTTGAGTAGTAATTTCACCTCATACTTGCCTTAATATTATTTACACCAGATTCTTTAGAAAAGATGAGTATAATTAGCAGAGAATGTGTGAGTACTCAGGCTTAAGAATTATTTGGATGAGAACCCTATAGTTGTTTTGTTTTTGTTTTTAATTAATCTACTCCCATCGAGTTGTTTCCCACTCTTAGCGACCCTATAGGACAGAGTAGAATTGTCCCTGTGGATTTCCGAGATTGTAAATATTTCCACGAGCTTAGAGCTGCATCTTTCTCCCATGGAGGGGTGGCAGGTGGGTTTGACTCACTTCCCAACTTTGTGACTCGCAGCTCAACTTGTGACCCATTATGCCACCAGGACTCTTTTTGTTTTTAATTGAGAAAGAATAATTCCAGAGACTTGTGATTCTTTGAAAATTTTTATTCCATCTTCCCAGCTCTTTGAAACAGGTAGTATAATTTCTAATATTTAGCAGATGAGGAGGGAAGACTCTAAGTGGGAGTTGACTTGCCCAAGGGCCCA